TTCCGGCGGCGCTCGGCGGGGGTGGGGGGCTCAGCGGGGCGGCGCTTTTTTTTTGCTGCTTGGGGCAGCAAAAAAGTTAGAGCCGGCCCTGTCACTGAGGCCAAGAGCTTAGCAGGATTCAAGAAAGGATCATGGGAAGGTTATATAGATTATAACCAGAGTTATCATAGCAAGGATAAAAAAAACCCCAAAATTCTTTATTTCAGGATATATGGCAATCGCTAGTAATGGCATAAGGAGGAAACTTTTCCTGTGAGTAGGTTATTTCATAACTGTATCATACAGGATTTTCTGCATTTTCCTCTGAAGCAGCCATGTTGGTGAGAAGATACTTGACTAGATTGGCTACTGGTCTGATCCAGTCTGGCAATTCCTATGTTCAACAAATGGTAAGAATGGTGAAAAGTAAATGAGAGTTCTAAAAGTCTTTATGTTTTAGCAATCAATCATCTTATTAGGCAAAATAGATAAGGAAATTTATATTTAGAATTGTTTTATAGCCTGATACTTTCCCTTCAAGTGTGGAAAACTTGTTTTAAACAAAATATATTTAGTTTGTCCCAAAATAAAGTAATGCATAAGCCAGAAAATACTTTTACATGCATGAGAAACTTCAGCCACACACAGCTCTCAAAGCTGCAAACCAAGGTAAAGGGTGGGTCATAACATATATAGCAAATTACCTGTTCAAGGGAAAATGTTATTGCTTAAGGTCCCTCACCAAAAGTTCTTAAGCAAAGTAAGCAGTCATGGGATAAGAGGCAAGGTCTTGTCATGGATCAGTAACTGGTTAAAAGAAAGGAAACAAAGGGTAGAAATACATGGTCAGTTTTCACAGTGGAGAGAGGGGGATCCACCAAGGATCTGTACTGGGACCAGTGCTGTTCAACATAGTCATAAATTATCTAGAAAAAGGGATAGACAGTAAGGTATCAAAGTTTGCAGATGATACTAAATTACTAAAGACAGTTAAGTCCAACTCTGACTGTGAAGAGTTACAACAGGATCTCACAAAAGTTGGTGACTGGGCAACAAACTGGCACTTGAATTTCAGTGTTGATGAAAGGCAAAGTAATGCACATTTGAAAACATAATCCCAACTATGCATACAATATGATGGGGTCTAAGTTAGCTGTTACCACTCAAGAAAGAGATTTTGGAGTCATCATGGATAATTCTCTGAAAACATCTGCTCAATGTGCAGTAGCTGTTAAAAAAGTTAGCAGAATATTAGGAACCATTAAGAAAAGGATAGAAAATAAGACATTAAATATCATAATACCATTATATAAATCCATGGTATGCCCACACCTTGAATACTGTGTGCAATTCTGGTAACCACATCTCAAGAAAACCCTATTAGAATGGGAAAAAGTAGAGAGAAGGGCAACAAAAATTATTAGGGTTATGCAACAGTTTTCATATGAGGAGTGATTAAAAAGATTGGGAGTGTTCAGTTTGGAAGAGACTACTAAAGGGGGATATGATAGAGGTCTATAAAATCATGAATGGTGTGGAGAAAGTGCATAAGAAAGTTATTTACCCCTTCACAAAACACAAGAACGAGGGGTCATCCAATGAAATTAATAGGCAGCAGGTTTAAAACAAACATAAGTACTTCACGCAATGCAAAGTCAACCTGTGAAACTCATTGCCAGGGATTTTGTGAAGTCTGAAAATATAACTGCTTTCAAAAAAAGAATTAGATATGTTCATGGAAGATAGGTCCATCAATGGCAATTAGCCAAGAGGATCAGGGATGCGATCGCATGCTCTGGGTTTCTTTAAACCTATTATTGCCAGAATCTGGGACTAGACAACAAGGGGACGGATCACTCGATAACTGCCATATCCTGTTCATTTCCTCTGAAGCAACTGGCATTGGCCACTGTCAGAAGACAGGATACTGAGATAGATGGATCATTGGTCTGACCCAGTATGCCCATTCTTATGTTCTTAAGCTGTTGACCATTTAGAGCCAGAGAACAAATAGATTTTGTGGGTCAGAAGAATTTCTTTGGCTTTCATCATCATGTACAAATAAATCTCTCTATAGCTTTTTTTTAATTTTAAATTGTGTGACTTTTGGTGGATGGGCTAGAGCCAGATTCAGTGCAGGCAAGAGTTCCCATCCCTGCTCTGCTAAGGCATCCTAATACTGTCATGCGACACCCCTTGCTGTTCCAGCCCTCTTCCAACCCTAGAGCAGAAAGTCCCAATCATGGGAAACAGTGTGGTGAGCAAATATCCACTAAAGAGTAGGGAGCAGTTTCACTGCCTGTCTGTCTAGTACAGGGGTGGGCAAACTTTTTGGCCCGAGGGCCACATCTGGGTATGGAAATTGTATGGTGGGCCATGAATGCTCACAAAATTGGGGGTAGGGATGTGTGGGGGGGTGAGGGCTGGGGGTGCAGGAAGGTGCTCCGGGCTGGGACTGAGGGGTTTGGAGGGAGGGAGGGAGGGGGATCAGGGCTGGGGCAGGAAGGGGTTGGGGTGCAGGCTCCAGGCAGCGCTTACCTCAAGCAGTTCCCAGAAGCAGCGACATTTCCCCCCTCTGGCTTCTATGAGGAGGCGCAGCCAGGCGGCTCTGCGCGCTGCCCTGTCTGCAGGCGCCATCCTTGCTGCCCCCATGGGCCACGGTTCCCGGCCAATGGGAGCTGCGGGGGAAGCATACAGAGCCCCTTAGCTGCCCCTATGCGTAGGACATGCCGCTGCTTCTGGGAGCTGTGCGGAGTGGGGCAAGCCCCTGACCCCACTCCCTGGCAGGGACTCACGGGCCGGATTAAAACGTTTGGAGGGCCGGATGCAGCCCCCGGGCAGTAGTTTGCCCACCCCTGGTCTAGTGGCAGAAAATCCATCTGCAGTGTGGCTGCAGTAACCCAGACTGGCCACAGCTCCACTCAATACAGTTACAGCAGGGCTGCCAGGGAAACAGGATCCAGGAACCCAGGAGAGGCTGTGAATCAATACACCTTCCAAGGTAACCTCTTCCAGCAGATCTCCTGTGACAGTACCTCTGCTTGTCTTCCCTGGAAAATCCTCCTTACCTATTATGAACAGCGGTATTGGGGAACAGCAGGACTATAACTAAGTTTACGTGAGGTGAGAGTAGGCAGGCTCCAGTGAGGCTTTCTTCTTCTCCCCTACCATAATGGTACTCAGCTTTTCTGCATCATGGCCCATTTCATTCTCTTGCATGTGCTCAACAATATGTTGAGCGGCTGCGAGGGACAGCAATGAGCTAGTGTTTTACACAGCTTCTTGTGACCCTAGGCAAGTCTTGTCCTCACTGCTGGCAGAGTCTCCATCTCTATTTCTCTTTGCATGTCTTCCAGCCGGCTTACTGGCTCCCAGTTCCATCCTTTACTGTGCACATTTCACTCATCTTTCAGCCTGTCCCCTATATTCCCTATCACTCCACAAGATGGTGACCATTACTATTAATTATTATTTGCCAATACTAAAAAATGTGCTCAGTATTATACACAAGCCCTGAGATGCTTGCAGTTTGTATCGTCAGACAAGACAATTCAGCCACACCCTGGGTGAGATCAGGAAGGTTCTAGCTAAAAGTAGGGATTTTACATTTATTTATATATGGGTAGGTGGCAGCATTTTACTGATCTGGATTAGTGTTTGTGGTCTTCATAGAAGACATGAGTTTTCACTTTGGATTTCAAAAAAGAGGGTGGATGCCTGGCACAGTGGGATAGGAAATAAACTCTAGGTGTAGAGGGGCAGCAGAGATGAATGCATGGAGATAAGAATCAGAGTGGTAGCCGTGTTAGTCTATATAAGCAAAAACAATGAGTCCTTGTGGCACCTTAGAGACTAATAAATTTATTTGGGCATACGCTTTCGTGGG